ATCCAAAATTCCTTGGATTCCTCTTCTCCAACTTTAACTACATTTCTCGTTTTTTTATAAATATCCATAATCCTATTTCTTAGCTTTTCACTCACTTCCATTTCTATTAATCTTTCCTTTAAAACTTTCCTATCCACTCGATCAAATGCTTCCTTTAAATCAATAAAACATGTAAATAATTTTTCTTTTTCTTTGCTTAATTTTTCATCAACAATGTGTTTCAATGTGTATATAGCTTCTATTACTCCTCTCTTTTCTCTAAAACCAAACTGGCTTTCTGATAATTTACCTTCGATTTNAAAACAAACTTAATATTACTACAATTCCAAATATACAAAACTCAATTCTTAAAATTCAAAATTTAACACATGTCTATCAAAAATTCAAAAATTTCCAACTTAATTATCAAAATTATCAAAACTTCCCATACTTAACTCAATAAACAAATTTCCTAATACTACTTAACTATCAAAATTTCAAGAATTAACAACTCTTTTCTTTAAATTGTCCATGTATTTTCTTGTATTCTTCATTCTTCCTTGCATTTCTTTTTCTCTCTTCTTTCTTGTCCTACTAATCCTTTTTCTCTCTTTACTACCTTAACTTTCTGCATACTTTCTTTTATCTTTTAGATCTTTTCTGACTCCTTCCTTTTTCTGATTACTTTTCTTAGCACTTCTATCTCTTTTGCATCATGGCTTAGTATTTTTTCCATTTCTTCTTCATTTCTCGTATCTCCACAAATCTTTAGTATGTGTCTATGATCTTCTTTTTCCTCCTTGCATAATCTACACTTCTTATTCTCCTCTCCTTTCCAGTATTCTCTACTTCTACATTTATTTCCGCATCTAAACCTTGCTACTAACTTTCTATCCTTTAATGGCATGTCCTTTTTCAAGTATTCTGGTTCAGCTTCTGTTCTTATACCTTTATATATTCTGTTGTACCGTGAGTTCTCTATCTTTTCCATTTTCCTCCTTTTTTCTTTTCTTTCCTTGTTCATTAATATTTTTTCTCTTATTTCCCCCCTAAATTCTACTCCTTTCATAAATCTTGTTTCTTTTACTTTCTCTCCCCGTAGTAATTCAGCTCTCTTTTTTGATTCCTTTTCTATTCTCTCTCTTGCCTTGTCCTTGTCCATGCATTCTTTTACTAATTTTATGTCTGACTCCCTAATTTTCTCTTTAAACTTTAACGCTCTCCTTAACGCTTTCATACTCATCCTTTCTAATCTGCACTCCTCCTCCACTATATAATTTGGTGTATTGCTGTCTAATCCTAATATCCATTTCATATATCTTCTCTGTACACTTTCTAGTCTTTCTTCTTCTTTCCAGCCCCACACTTCTGCACCAAATAGCGCTATACTTTCTACTAGGGCTGTAAATAATTTTCTTCTTCTTTTATAGCTATTCTTAAATATTCTTTCTCCTATGCTCCATGCATTTTTCATAGCTATCACTGCTTTCCTTTTCCTTTCTTCTATATGCCTATCGTTTCTCCCATTTTTCTGTAGTATATATCCTAAATATCTTACTTTTTTTACTTCTTCTAATTCCTTACTCCCCCACTTCCACCTTCTATCATTGCTCTTTCTTTTTTCGAACACTAAAATTTTCGTTTTTTTCTTACTTAAAATCATCTTCTTTTTATTTAGGTACTTTTTGAATCTTTTTAACATCTCTTTCAATTCTTTTTCTCTATCTGCTATTAATACTATATCATCCGCGTAAGATAGACTGCATACTTTTTCATTACCGTCTCTGCATCCTCCCACCTGCCCTCTCTTTAATTCCTGCTCCAGATCCGCTAAGTACACATTAAACAGCGTCGGGCTCAGTGGGCAGCCTTGCCTCACACCTTTCTCTATCCAAAATTCCTTGGATTCCTCTTCTCCAACTTTAACTACATTTCTCGTTTTTTTATAAATATCCATAATCCTATTTCTTAGCTTTTCACTCACTTCCATTTCTATTAATCTTTCCTTTAAAACTTTCCTATCCACTCGATCAAATGCTTCCTTTAAATCAATAAAACATGTAAATAATTTTTCTTTTTCTTTGCTTAATTTTTCATCAACAATGTGTTTCAATGTGTATATAGCTTCTATTACTCCTCTCTTTTCTCTAAAACCAAACTGGCTTTCTGATAATTTACCTTCGATTTCCTTTTTTAACATCTTATTTAACATACTCGCGTAAATCTTATATGCTGTACATGTCAATGTAACTCCTTTATAATTTTCTAACATATCTTTGTCACCTTTTTTGTGAATCAAACAAATCGTACCTTGCCTCCACTGATCCGGTAATTCTCCTTTTTCCCATACTTTTTTCAGCAATTCCTAAAGGGCTGCATTCACTTCTCCCGGCATGTACGTCCATACTTCGTTTTCCAGCTTGTCTTCTCCTGGTGCTTTTCCTACTTTTAATCTGGCTATCTGTCTCTCGAACTCTTCCTTGCTCATTTCTTCCTAATCCTCTGCATTTGTTCTTGCCTCTTCGTTTCTTGTCTCTTCTCTCACAATTCCTTCTTCATTCTTCCCATCTAATTTTTCCATAAAATACCTTCTCCACTCTTCTACTGTGAACTTTTAAGACATTTCTCTCCTTCTTTTTTTTCTGTACTTGTTTACATACTTCCACACTTCGCCTTCCGATATTGCATTTTTTATCTTTTCTTCTTCTAATCTTTCAAACCTTTTCCTTTTTGCCTCTTACACCAGTTTCTATACTCTCTTTTTTTATCTATGTAATAACTTCTTTCTATTTTCTTTTTTCTCCACCTTTTCATTATTCTTCTTAAATCCTTCTTCTTCTCTTTCTATTCTTTATCGTGCCATTTTTTATCCCCCATCTTCCTTACTTTACACTGTTTTTCCACCTTAGGTACTGCACTATCTATTTTTTCTTTCAATTCACTCCATCTTTCTTCAACCTCTTTCCCCTTCCACTCCCAGTCTTTACACCTTTCTCCATACTGATCAATCAATTCTTGAGTCCAATCCCTCCTTGCCTTTGTTCTCTCTTCTTTCTCTACAATTCCTACCTCTACTTCCTTTTCTAGGTATACTTTTAACGGCATATGATCTGATTCCGTTTTTTGTCCTATCTTCATTTCCTTAATCTGATCTAACGCTTCTCAACATCCTATTGCGTAATCTATTACCGACTCTCCTCTGCTACCAACGTATGTGAATTCTCCTTCTCCTTTTTGCCCATTTACTATACACCATCCTTCTTCTGTTATTTCTTTTATTAGTCTTCTACCTTCCTCGTTGATCTTTTGGTCTTTCGACTTTCTTAACCTTACGTCCTTGTCGTCACTATCACTTTCATTAATCCAACCTCCTTCTCTCCCAGTTCTTGCATTCCAATCTCCCAGTATGAGTACACATCCACTTTTCTTCGTTTTTACTTTTTCCTTTATAATTTCCATCGTCTCTGCTACATTTTGACTATATACCCCTATAATCTTCCACTTCTGATTTCCGTGTTTAATCTCCTGCATTACTATATTATCGCTCCATACTTCATGATTTCTACTCTCCAATTTTTCGCTTATTCCTAATATTACTCCTCCTTTCCAACCTGCTCATCTTATCGTTTCATTCTTTATTCTCTTGATTTTCATTTGTAAAATTCAATAGAGTCTGTGCTTTTAATTTTGCATTTGTTTTATTTCTTGTATTTATACTTGCTGCAGGCGGCTTTTCGGCCATTTTTAAACTTTGCCGATAATGCAGTTTTCTACTTTACTGACTCCCCCACTTCTATCGGCCAGAAATTCTATTTGCCAGCCTTACTCGACAAAGTAGTGATCTTCCTTACTGACCTCAATATTGCTTTTTTCAGGGTCCTTTCTTATCTACCTCTCAGATTACCCCTTTTATCGACCTCTTTCTCCAATTGCCGCTTCTTTTTTCGTATTATATCTTTTCTAACCTCACTTTTTTTCGAACTTCATTTGCACTTTTTCTTTTACTATCACCACTTCAACACTGTTTTCCTGTCCTCTTGTCCCTCGTTTTTCCGCTCACTAATACCTTTCTCTATAATCCCCTATTCTTACTACCCACTCCTTACTTGCCTTACACGTGTTCCGTTCTCTTTACCCTGACACTACCACACTAATCTCACTTCATCCTTTTAAACTTTTATAATTATTCACTTTACACTTTTTTCTCTGCTGCTTCTTCACTTTTTACACTTCTTCGTACTTTTTATTTCTTTTATTTTTACTTTAATTACTTTTTATTACTCTTTTCTACGGAGCACTCTCTCGACACGTCCGCACTCTCGCATGCACAACGGAACTCCTTATAAGAATTATTGATACGGTAATAATTCAGGACTACTAATCAAAATAGTCTAATTATCGTTTGGGAGCGATCCAATATGTTAGCAGCTTGAAAAAATAGGTCAATAACTTGGTACTTTAAACAGGTTGCTAAGATTCTCTTGTATATAAAATTATTTTTTACGTAATACCTAAAGTGTTTCCTTGTAAATTATTATTAACTAGAAACTTTAAATAGGTTCTTCACGTATTTACATGCAAGGATATTTTTAATATTAATAAATGTTTTAAATATGCTTTAAAAAATGTTTCTTTGTTCCAAAAACTTTATATTTGTTATACACAAATTTTATTTTGGTAAAAAAAATGCATGCAGACACATATGTTCAAAGATTTTTCATTTTTTTCTTGAAAAGTGTGCTTTGAGGCTTAAAGTTATCAAATGATCGTTCATTTTAGTATTTTTTTAATACCCCTCATACTAAAATTTTACTCGTTAAATGAACGGAGTAAAAACATTATGTGAATAAATTAAGCTATTCCAAACTGCTAAACTATTACCAAAGATTATCTTCTACCAAATTTTTTTTAAATGTTTGCAGCAGCAAATACAATTTTAATACATCCTGCCCTATTCTATCTTCTTTTCTCTCTCTCTCTCTCTCTCTCTGCTCTCTCTATTTTCTCTATTTTTTTTACAGGATGCTGTCATTAATGAACTAAAAAATAAAACCAGACTAGTCCAAGAAAAAAAACTATTACAGCAAGATGAAGTTTATAATGGAGCTCTGGAGGACATCCTCTTAGGCCTAAGATCGGAACCTTACCGGCGAGCAGACGCAGTACGTCGAAGTCAGCGTCGGCACATTGATAACAACAGATATTCACGGACTATTGAGGAGCTGGAACTTTAATGAATAGCATACATAAAATTATGTTTTTTTGTTTGTTTATCGGTTATTAGAAAAATAACTGAATTTTCACGTTGTATGTTGGTCAATACCATATGTGTACAAAGTGTAGATACGAAAAAATAGTTGACGAAAATTGGTACTACGATTAATTAGACATTTGTTTTCTTTCAAAATACCGTGGAATAAAACTTTTGAAATGTCAATTCTCAATGAGTCTTCTTTAATATTTAAAAACAATTTTCAATTGTAACATATCAGTGCTAATGTAAGAGGTAAGGTTAATATAGAAACATATAAACTAATTCCCGCAGTTCTTTGATCCAGCATATATTTCAGTAGTTTTGAAAAGTAGTTTTTGAAATCACTTTGTAAATGCTGAAAAACATTAAATTTCTGAAATAAGGAACATCTACATAGATGTGTCAATATAATCATTTATCAAATCTAGTGCTGATAATGCTAACTTTTTTGAGATAGAAATAAAAGAATTTTTGTAAATTTTTTTAATTCACTCTAAAGCCGTCAGTGATGGTCAACAACTCAAAATTTGTATTTTTTCGAATTTTATGGTTGAAAGTAAAAAAATAATAATAATAATAATAAGGGAATCATTTTTGCGCATTTTTGATGTCGAATTGTATAAAAATAGTTTCAGACGCTTTTAAGGTTATTTCATTTTTTGTTTTAATTTTTACATTCAAAACATTTTTTGAGCAAATCCAGACAAATTTCTTGATTTATTATTTTTTCATATTTTATTACATATCTTAGTTACATAATTTTTTTTTATAGTAGGCATACTACCAGCATTAGCCGCAATCGTACAAAGTTTGAGCCTACTCTCGTAGTTAAAATTACACCTCAATTAAAAGCAGTACTGCCCTTGATTTCAGCGTTACCATTGATTAAGCTGGGGTATAATTTCATTGTGCAAGTGAATATTGCTAATTAGTTAACGGTTTAATAAATGATAGTGCTATGATAAAGTACTTTACACGACTCTGATTAGATGAGCTCTGAAGTACGTTACTAGGCTGAAACTTTGTAGCATCGTGACCATTGCTGCTTGCCACAAGATTAATAGCTTAACGTTGAGCTTGCTAAGTTTTAGTATATATTATTTGGGTTATCCAGTTTTAGTAATGAGCTCACTAATTTCCAAGTTAAAAAAATACAACTTACTATAAAAAATCTCTGGTGTAACAAAATCACGTAAAACAAATCAAGAGAAAGTATTGTGTATTAATAGCATGTATGTCCCATATCATATAGTTATTAGTGTGGTGTATAATCCAACTAAACTTTATTCACCTAAATCCCCCATAGACCCCCACAATCCCCTGACAGCCCTCCCAAATTCTCCCACAAATAAGGTAATATTTGACTGTTTTCAACGTTAATTTGACATTTCTATTGTTTTCCTAAGTCCCCCACAACCCCTTCACAGCCCCACACGTTATTTTTTTTTGTCCTAGCACAACCCCAGATACTAATTATCGATAATTTACACTTATTTTAAAAGATTATTCTTTTCATCTATTTTTCCACACTGCTCAAAAGGCAAATAGATGGACTTTATACATATTAATAAAATATAAAACTAATGTTCGATTATGTAACAATATTAATAAATAGCATTTTAAACTGTAAATTTATAATTATGAAATTAATTGAATTGATTCATGTAATTCAATAATTATGTAACGTTTTTATTTGTACGTGTAATCGTATGGTATCGCATAAATACATGTGATAAATTATGAATTTTTCATTGTTTTAGAATAAGAGTAAGACAAAAAAATTTAATGCACCAAGAACTTTATACTTATTAATGAATTATTTATCCTAACTGAACAAACCCATCCATCTCCTACCTCTTTCCTCGACGTATACGTGTTATTAAATAACTATTGATGTATAATAATTTTGTAGAATAGTAAATTAACATTGAGTTTTACAACTGCAAATTGAAATAATAATGATAATATAATCAATCAAGTGTTTGAAAAATATAACAATAATAANCATCTGTTTTTCCTCTTTCCAATCTTCTTCTCTTCTTTCTAGACTACTAATCATGCTGTCCAACTTCCTTTCCAACCTGCTCATCTTATCGTTTAATTCTTTATTCTCCTGATTTTCTTTTGTAAAATTTAATAGAGTCTGTTCCTTTAGTTTTCCGCTCACTAATACCTTTCTTTATTATCCCCTATTCTTACTACCCACTCCTTACTTGCCTTACACGTGTTCCGTTCTCTTTACCCTGACACTACCACACTAATCTTACTTCATCCTTTCAAACTTTCATAATTATTCACTTTACACTTTTTTCTCTGCTGCTTCTTCACTTTTTACACTTCTTCGTACTTTTTATTTCTTTTATTTTTACTTTAATTACTTTTTATTACTCTTTTCTACGGAGCACTCTCTCGACACGTCCGCACTCTCGCATGCACAACGGAACTCCTTATAAGAATTATTGATACGGTAATAATTCAGGACTACTAATCAAAATAGTCTAATTATCGTTTGGGAGCGATCCAATATGTTAGCAGCTTGAAAAAATAGGTCAATAACTTGGTACTTTAAACAGGTTGCTAAGATTCTCTTGTATATAAAATTATTTTTTACGTAATACCTAAAGTGTTTCCTTGTAAATTATTATTAACTAGAAACTTTAAATAGGTTCTTCACGTATTTACATGCAAGGATATTTTTAATATTAATAAATGTTTTAAATATGCTTTAAAAAATGTTTCTTTGTTCCAAAAACTTTATATTTGTTATACACAAATTTTATTTTGGTAAAAAAAATGCATGCAGACACATATGTTCAAAGATTTTTCATTTTTTTCTTGAAAAGTGTGCTTTGAGGCTTAAAGTTATCAAATGATCGTTCATTTTAGTATTTTTTTAATACCCCTCATACTAAAATTTTACTCGTTAAATGAACGGAGTAAAAACATTATGTGAATAAATTAAGCTATTCCAAACTGCTAAACTATTACCAAAGATTATCTTCTACCAAATTTTTTTTAAATGTTTGCAGCAGCAAATACAATTTTAATACATCCTGCCCTATTCTATCTTCTTTTCTCTCTCTCTCTCTCTCTCTCTGCTCTCTCTATTTTCTCTATTTTTTTTACAGGATGCTGTCATTAATGAACTAAAAAATAAAACCAGACTAGTCCAAGAAAAAAAACTATTACAGCAAGATGAAGTTTATAATGGAGCTCTGGAGGACATCCTCTTAGGCCTAAGATCGGAACCTTACCGGCGAGCAGACGCAGTACGTCGAAGTCAGCGTCGGCACATTGATAACAACAGATATTCACGGACTATTGAGGAGCTGGAACTTTAATGAATAGCATACATAAAATTATGTTTTTTTGTTTGTTTATCGGTTATTAGAAAAATAACTGAATTTTCACGTTGTATGTTGGTCAATACCATATGTGTACAAAGTGTAGATACGAAAAAATAGTTGACGAAAATTGGTACTACGATTAATTAGACATTTGTTTTCTTTCAAAATACCGTGGAATAAAACTTTTGAAATGTCAATTCTCAATGAGTCTTCTTTAATATTTAAAAACAATTTTCAATTGTAACATATCAGTGCTAATGTAAGAGGTAAGGTTAATATAGAAACATATAAACTAATTCCCGCAGTTCTTTGATCCAGCATATATTTCAGTAGTTTTGAAAAGTAGTTTTTGAAATCACTTTGTAAATGCTGAAAAACATTAAATTTCTGAAATAAGGAACATCTACATAGATGTGTCAATATAATCATTTATCAAATCTAGTGCTGATAATGCTAACTTTTTTGAGATAGAAATAAAAGAATTTTTGTAAATTTTTTTAATTCACTCTAAAGCCGTCAGTGATGGTCAACAACTCAAAATTTGTATTTTTTCGCATTACACTGTTTTTCCACCTTAGGTACTGCACTTTCTATTTTTTCTTTCAATTCATTCCATCTTTCTTCAACCTTTTTTCCCTTCCACTCCCAGTCTTTACACCTTTCTCCATACTGATCAATCAATTCTTGAGTCCAATCCCTCCTTGCCTTTGTTCTCTCTTCTTTCTCTACAATTCCTACCTCTACTTCCTTTTCTAGGTATACTTCTAGCGGCATATGATCTGATTCCGTTCTTTGTCCTATCTTCATTTCCTTAATCTGATCTAACGCTTCTTGACATCCTATTGCGTAATNATCTGTCTTTCCACTCAAACGATCTCCCTCCCCTCCCGTCCGTTGTACCCATTCCCTCGCTCACCGGCCGTAGGTCCGAAATTTTCACGTCCAAGACGCTCGACGTGCCGAAAGCCGCCCTACCGACTTACTCTCGTCAGATTAGTTTTCGAAGTGACGGCTTCCTCTTGCCCGCTCTCGCGTACGTGTATATTTATATACACACGCGCTCTTGGGAGTCGCTTTCGCTCGGTCTCTGTTTCTTGTCATCTGCTCTTTTTCGCTTTCGCTGCTGACCACTTGACAGATGACGAATGGACACTTCTTTCTTTTCTTTTTTTTTTTTTTTTTTTTTTTTTAACGAATTGTGAAAGAAAAAATTTCTAAGTTAAAGAAAAATTATTGTGAGAAAATAAAATTAAAATTTGTTTGAAAATTGATTTCTTGGGAGTGTGAGGGGGAATGGTGGGCAAAGATGTGCAGAAGAGTAACACGGCACGGTTGGCAGATATACATATATAGTAAGGGGAGGGGAAGTGTGTAGAGAACAGTAGGTGAGGGGGATGGGGTAAGGGGGGAAACTTGAGAGGAAGAGACTTCGGGTAAACCACTTCCGTTTCAAAAAATTTGTCGGTTTTAAAATTTCAGCCCCCTGAGTACGCTACGTAAAGAACTTTGTTCTTAAAAAATTCTACTTACATATCAAATGGTGAAATATAATTGATTCTGAAGAAGATGTATAGTAATAATCAATAAAACTATGTTTTTTGAAGTAATGTCACATAAATGTTTTAAATTATATTATTGTTATTATTTATGTAGCCTTTTCTTCGAAACAAGCCTAAGATTAAAATATCAGAAATCAATGATTTCTTTTCATAAAACACACACATTATTGCACAGTGCAGGACGTATATGAACAAATTTCAGCGCAAAGTGCTGCTAAGTTTATCACGCAGCATTAAACGTGATGGATACGTATTTGTATCATAGTAATTACAACGTTTTGAAGCTACAAAGTAAAAAAAAAATGGGTTTATACACGGATTATGTTATAGAGATTGAAGGTTTTCTCGACGCTTCTCAACAGTTTTTACCCAAAGAAGTGGCTGTTGTGCCTCTTAAGACACTGGCGATCAGTCATTGAATTGTGCGGCCCCCATGTAATTTTTCTACCTTACCTATGGTAGTGCACCAAA